TAGTTACTAACTATAACAAGTTAGTTACCAATATATTGTGGATCAATTCCAAGTACCGAGAGACGAAATATCTAGCTATGCTTCTGAGAAACGGCATTCTGGTCGCTTTAAGTGGCATCATGCAGCCCCTATCAGCAGTTCGCAATCATAGAATGCAGCCTACTTGACACAGGCTTTGCCAGCGACTTACCCGCCATTCATAGGCCGCGTAAAGACCCGTGCTGTCCATCCCCCGCACATGACCTTGGGAGCTGATGAGCTAGAGCTTCCACAGCGTCCCCGTTCATGGTCTCATTGGGGATTCATCTGCGATAAAAAGTGTAGGCAAGACTGGAAAAAAACATAGGCTTGGACGAGGCCCTCGGCGGACAAGGTTTGCGTTTTCTCGTCACAATTGAGTTTTCCCTGAATAAGATTCCATTCCTCAAAAGAATGGCCCGCTCCTTGTCATTGAGACTTGGTTTGGATTTTCCGTTAATCTCAACCAGCGGATGGTCCAAGTCAGAGCTGATGTACATTCTATCAACACCGTTCTCCTCCGAGTCTAGCTGGTCCAAAAGCTCTCTGATCGGTTGAATAGGCTGCTGTGACGATGTTCTTGTCGACCATCCAAAGGGTGGCTCTCCCTTCTGTATCAGTTGCAAAAGACAGATTGCATCAGCTTGGCGTTCATTCAAGACATAGGACCATGCGAGGGCTCTTCCAAATGGAATAAGTAGCTCCTCTTGATGTCTTTGTCTGAAAATTTCCCATCCGGTTTCAAAGATGTGCCGTACAATGTCTCTGTGTACGATATCTCGTCGGATAATCTGACTGAGCTGGATCAGCACTCTGTAGATTTCCCAGTCGGTCCTTAGATGAAGATATTTGGCGAAAGTTGACTCGATTAGTAGTCTTTGTGGTCTTTGTGCCTCTTGGAAAACATCGAAAATCCGGCGGCAGGCAAGTATTGAAGAGAAAAAGTCTTCGAGATCTTGCAAATTTCCGAGGATTTTTAAGAGCAGTTCAGAAGGTAGAGCAACTAGTGGAGGGATGGTGTTGATTTTATGGACGTCAATTGTGGAATAAGCAATTGAATCTGCGGTTTTCTTGGTGTCCCTCTGAGGCGATTGCGGAAGGTTGGAGTGTATACAGGCCAAAATTTGGCACGAACGAGCACAGGTGTTCTTAGGCATTTTGGTTTTGGAATACTGGTGTGTAATGGATCGAGTCGCCCTGGGGGTGGTCGTGGGGTTTAAATATCAGTATGCGAACATTGCGCCTTGCTCAGCCAAGCGCTTCGCCTCCCGATACATTGATTGGTCACTCTGACCGCTTAGTCAGCATCGATTGATTTGAAGCTCCTAGAGAGTCCTGAGGGGAGAAATGGCGGAAAGAAAGGGCAGAATCCTGGGTGGCATGGGTGGGTAGCTCAACTGGTTCACATGGTTGTCCTGAGAACTGGGCTCGGGTTCCTATCGGCTTTGCAACAAGGTGTAAACTTTTAATCCACTTTCCGCCCAAGAAAGACAATCATAATCTGGGATTTTGGGTTATTTTCATCGTATCTGTGCCGCCAAGTAACATAAATCCCGTTGATGGCAGCATTAGTTGGCTGCAAGCAAGCATAGGAAAGAAATTTCACTCATAAAGTGAGGTGCGATTAGCATGGAAATAGTGGATTTAAGCGGTGCTCTGAAAAAGAAGCCAACCACGGGTACAATTGAGAGTGACTGTTGGCCTCAAAATCTCCCAAACAGTACTTGGGCTTCCCTTGAAGCACTTCAACCTCCATTAACGAGAAGGCGGGACTTTCTGTGGCCGCAATTGAATACGATCTCTGATCAGCCCAACAGAAAGAAGAAGCTCAAATTTAAAGCAGCTAAGGCAGATCTTGACTTCTTCACTCGCTGTCTATATATTAGAAGCTTAAACACAGCCCAAATCTGCCCCTGATCAACGTTGGCTTTATTAACAGTTCAACGCCGTCACCTAAGAAGCCCAGCAGTTACTCACATCAAAGGTCATATTGATTAAAACTTCCATTATTCCTTGTCTTCAGGCAGCCTCGTTATTCGGAAAAGGTGTCACTTTTGCCTGCAAATACTCAAAGACATCCAGAAAAATTCCATTGTACCTTGGCATTGCATAAGAAAGCAAGATGCTAACCGGGCTTCATGACACTAAGGTCTCATAGAACATCGAGTCTTGACCTTGATGGAAAGGGTTATTAGAAGCGTTCAATTAGGATAATGATTATTACGGCCACCTTTTCAACACCTCAACACCTCAACACCACCTAGTTGGACCAGATGCTGCGACCTAGTTGCTCTTATTACATATATAGCATGCATCGACTAAATTCTCATGTGCCTTTTATTCTGCTTCCTATCGCCTGATACATAATGACCAACAGCTTTTGGTCCGTTTAGCTCAAGTAAGATTGGAGAAATCCCTTCACTCATTCTATTGAGTGACAGTTCAGCCATTTGTCCAAGCATCTCGCGATGTCTCTTCTCTCTCTTCCATCGGAAATGAATTTGCTCATTTCAAGCCATTTGAACTCGCCAAAAAACCTTCTCAGCTTCCTCCGAACGAGCCAAAAGTTCTACCATCTCTTGATCAATGAGCTCTACCAACATAATATACGCTCGGATGGTGGATCGGCCCTTTTATGGTACGCAAGTCGTGGGGACGAACTTGGAGTCCGGAATATGCTTCGTGCGGGTGCGAATGTTAACCTCCGATCGCCAAATCGCGCACAGTCGACAGCTCTTCTGGAAGCAGTTTCTACCAAGCATACCAGTGTTGTACAAGCGCTTCTAGAGAATGGGGCTTTGCCAGATGTGGCCGATGCCCGATCTAGAAGACCCTTGGTTTTGGCGACAAATGGTCGTAGCGACGTGGCGATCACCAAGTTGCTCCTAGAGCACGGCGCCATAGCCAACTCCGTTGCGTTTGACAAATATGCTCCATTACGGGAGGCTGTCCGTTCAAACCAGGAATCCAAAGTGGCATTGCTTTTGAAGCATGGGGCTGATACACATATCCTGGACCGCCGAACTGGGATGACCCTCGTGCACATCGCGGCTTCCAAGAACGCTACCCCCGGAATTATCAACATCCTCCTAAGCTCCGGTGTTCAATTGGAGTCTCAAGACAATATGGGCAGAACGCCACTTCAAGTAGCAGCTGACCATTCATGCACCCGCGCTGTGCGCCTGCTATTAAACCTTGGCGCCAATCCAAACTTCAAAAACAATAATCAGTACTGGAAAGGGTGGAGTGCACTTTTCTACGCTGCAACAAATCCCAGCATTCCCGGGAACGGCAGAAAAAGCATCATTCGAGCATTATTTCTACATGGAGCTGAGCTCGATGGTAGAAATCACGCTCAGAAAACGCCTCTACACCATGCCATCTCTAAGGGCGCCATAAAACAGGCGCAAGCTCTTGTTGAATGTGGTGCCAGTATTATGGCTACAGATGCCAATGGAGATACGGTCCTTCATATAGCTGCTTCCTCATCGAGCTGGTGTCCCAGTATGGTGGGCTAGCTTGTTGAAAACGGCGCTGATGTAAATTGGGTCGGCGGTAGACATAGTGAAAACCCAATTTTCTACGCTATCCGGAACGCTTATAACCGACAAGGCATGGAATGTGTTCGAAAACTTCTGTTGCTTGGAGCTGATGTTCAATTTCGAAACAACGATGGGCTGACACCTCTTTCCCTTGCTGTACGCATGGGATCTATTGAGGCAACAAAGATTCTACTCGAACATGGAAGCTGTGCTGATTCGAGAGACAAAAATGGCAAATCCCCTCTGCATTATGCTGCCGAAGCAGGGAATGTCCACAAGATTGTCAAACTTCTCATTCAATACGGGGCTGACGTGAACTCTCGGGATATACTTGGATTCACGCCATTGCATAAGATTGTCGCCAAAGAAGACACGTGGGAAGCAGCGGGGGAGTTGTTAAAGGCCGGGGCTGATCGATACGCCATAGCTGGTGATGGAAACTTCCCTCATGACATGGTTCCTGATGGCGTTTGGGCGGAAACGAAACGTTCCTTGATCCGTTTTTAGATGTCGTGACTGGCGTCACCGCGCTCAGTCACCTGTGATACAGTTCTTAAGTACTATTCATACAACCCTTGCAGGCAGCCTGTTGAAATATAGGATACTTTAAAAGACCACAACTGTATTAGAAATACCAGCCAGAGTCATGGTAAAAATGCGCTGGGTACGAGAAAATAAATTTCGGGGACCGCACATGCTCGGGCCTTTCCGAAGAAGCTTTTACTGTCGATTGTTTTTGTTTCCTCAAATTTTCAATATGGATTGAAAGTAACTTTCGCGTAGGAGATTGAATCTGTGATAACCCTGGTATAGAATGGCCAACTGTCATGGAGGGGCAATCCAAAGCAGTGACAGTCCGTGCGAAATCCATTTTCATTCTCGATCTCGCTTTGTGCGCGATGTTCGCGCACTTGTTGACCCACGGACTGCATAGCTCGGAAACTTCTCACTTGTCTGAAGTCTCTATGGAATGCAATCCGGATTTCTTCTTCGATACACCACTCGAGGAATATTTGAAAGCCTTGTTCCGGGTCTTTGTCATACCACACCCAGTTCCCTCTAATTAACGCCTTCAGCTCTGAGAAGAAATCTTCGGTAGGATTCAAGTCAGGTGAGTAAGGTGGCAGACACACTAGCTTTACCCCCTGTTTCAGTGCACATTTCCTCAATCAATCAGAAAGACGGAAAGACTACTTCTTGCATAATGTATCGGAATTTAAATCGTACCACCTAGTATATATTGATGAATCTAGATGTGACAAACGCAATTCAAAGGGACAGGTTCTGCACCACTTGGCAAGGCCCCTCTACAAGTAACGTAATTCCATCGGGATCAGCGATACCAGATGTTGCCCGCAAATGCATAGGCTTCTGGTTGGCAGTAAATGTATTGTCGACGACAAAGTCTTGAACCAGGCGCCCACGTCGACCCTACAAGTAAACAACCCTCTGCCTCGAGTAAAATCGGCCAGTCCACTCGCGATTCCTCCTTAGCAGGCTGTCAACCTTCAACCCTCATGTCCCCATCAATGCCTACAAGCAGACAATCTACAGGCTCGGCTGCATCCAGCCAGCCACCGCTTGCCGATCAAACGCTAGCTTTGACCGCCACCGTAAAAGGCGCATGCGCTGCACACCTATCATCGTGTTATACAGTATACATAGACATCCTCTCTGATGAAATGCCCCTGTTACTATGACTCGCCCAGATGATTGTTCCTGTGCTTGTATGATGGTTTTTTTTTTATTTTTTGTTTTTTTATTTTATTTTTTTTTTTTTT